CTGCAACAGTCAGTCCCTCGAGGAAGTCAAATTCAACTTTTGACCTGATGACATGGCGCTAAATGAAACATTGAATGTTTACTATTCATCCTGAAGTTCCCAAAAGTTGTGGAGACATTTTACTCAAAACCACAAATTCAATCTCATGGTGGGGCTAAATGGAAAGACACACATTGAATTAATAAAAATTCAACCAATCTGTACAATCACTGCAACTATTGTAGTTTTCTGCGAGTTTCACCAATCACAGCAGCCCCCTGTGTAAAACGTTAAGCCACATGCAACTATTTTTGCAATTTTAACTCAAATACAATGCAAAAAAAACTCCTAGAAACATCCCAACATGCATCACAATCATTAAAAAAACCTGCCAGGAGTTTTAGACAACAACAATCCCCTAAAAAATCCTGTAGAATCCTATATGGACTCCAAAGCTCTGCCTTTTAGCTTCAAGACCATTTGTAGAAAATCGAGCTCCGCACCTTGTTGAAGTCACAGAACTTCCAGAAGAGGATCAGCAGCTCCTGTTGGAACTGGATCTTCTTGGTGGATCGAGGCAGGTAAGTCTGGATCAGAGGGTTGTTGAGCAGGCGAGCCAGACCTTTCAGGATGAAGCTCAAGTCCTGAGAAAAACAAACGTACACTGTAACGTCCATCAGTATCAGCACATTCAGTGCTGAACGGTGAGCTATATTTCACAGTACCTCTTCTCTGTGAATCCTGGAGAGATAATTCACAAAGAGGTTATCAGGTCCGGCTGGCTGAAAAGAAAAAAGACAATGATTTTAAATTCTGAATCAGAATCAGTGTTTTTATTATAACAACAGCTCATTGGATCATCATACTTCTGGTTCCTCCTCAGTTGAGGGGGATGCGGAGTCGTCCAGGGCCTGGAGGGCGGCTCTGGCGGCGGACCCCGCCTCGTGTTCCAGGGTGACGGTAAGGATCTGGACCGCCTGCTCCACCAACTGCTCCCGGTGGTCCGAGAACAACAGGTGGTTGTAGGGGACGCCGTACCCGACGGGGTCGTAGGCGCACACCACGTTGAGCAGGGAGGTGAACAGGGGCAGGGCGTGTCTGGGTGAAGCAGTGAGAGACGGGCGGAGGTCAGTTAGCGCTGTATATCAGCAGTGAGGGGGTCACACATGCCGGGTTATCAGAGTTTTCCATGTGTTCAGAGGAGTGGGCTCTTCAGAGGGGGCGGTTTATGTTCCACAGTGTAGGTTATGCAACGCAGAGGGTGATGTTATATCTATTTATATACTGTACATACATATTGCTTTTTTCTTTGATGGTTTTACTATTAAATGTCATCAGAAATGTGAAAATGAAAATATGAGAACTCATAAAGGAACAGTAACACAACTAGGGCTGCACAATTAATCAAAATATTATTGAAATCACAAAATGCAAATCACAGTAATAAAAACAACAGCCTCATAACTTATATAAATTATACACATTGAGAAGGGGGAACAACGGAAATTTACTTCATAGGGGTGAAGAGTCAACTCCTAGACTAGAAAAGCATCATAACCAGTAATTAACACAGGAAGAACAAGACATCGCCAACAGTGATGATTTTAGGATCAATACATTACCAATACAGACGTCCCTGTACTGTACCTGTGTGTGTGTGTGTGTGTGTGTGTTACCTGTTTTCTGTAGAGCAGAAGAAGGAGACCCAGGGGTTGAGGTTTTTTCTTTCAGAGGACGGAGGAAGGTACATGGCTTCAGAGAAACAGGTGAGGAGCAACTTCAGCAGCTCCGTCCTGAACAAACAGACACACACAGGATAAAATAAACTGTTTCTAAAACTACTTCAGGAAAGTCTTTGACATTTCTGACTTACTAGTCAACATTTATACACCAAAACGAATCTGCAATAAGTTGATTTCTGTGTGTCTAGCTTTAATTTATACCTCTTTACCAGAGCAACACAATCCATTGAATTGATTTTAATAACAGAAATGAAACATAATGACTCCAGGAACAATGAATTCCTAGAGGTATCATGTTCAGGAACATTAGAGATTGTCCTGCTCCAAGGATGAGTTATGGGTTAACTCTCATAGCTGATATGTCAAACAGGCAACTAGTTAAAAAGAAAGAAAAAGTATGAAATAACTTGTTTCAACCTCATTTAATTATTGTTATACAACAGCTCTCACCTGTTGAGGTCGTGGATATAGTTTAGAGGAGGTGACTGAGCGAAGCCCACCCCGGCCTCCCAGATGTACTCACAGCTGTCGATGGAGCGAATGTCCTCGGCTGTATCCTGCAGCAGAGACAACATCAATAAAAAAGACCTTCATAATATCCCTGACCAATGGGTTGGGGGGGGGTGGATCAATTAATTAAAAATAAAATGTGAAATTAGCCTTGAAAGTGCTTTTAGTTAAAGCACCTGATGCATTTCATTAAGTGTAAATTACACAAATGGGAAACTAAAACAAGTAGTAGTAGTATTATGAGCTGAACTGGGTCCTGATAGTCTGGTCATACTGTGAATTATCAGTCTACAAACGGTGATATTTAACACTTTGGTTACAGCTCAAACAGCCACATTCATTAAGAGCATTACTACACAGTTAAAGGTCTAAACAAAGAGCGGGACTGTGTTCACACCTACTTCCACCATGTGATTCAACAAGTGGACTAAACTGACAAGGTCTGAGTGCGACACCTCGGCACAGATAACTACAGCTTTATGAATAGATCAGACAAGGTGCTGCCATTGTTCTTCATAAGTAAACTGACAGTAAAGGGCACCGTGCCACGCCACTCAAACATTCACTGCTGTACAACCAAACCCAGGAAGCAGCAGCCATGGGGATTTTGGTTTTTCACTTCCTGGAAAGAAACGTCTTCAGGTTGCTTCACTTTTTACAAGAGTCTGAAATTCTTCCACTTGGATGACTTTAGAACTATTTTACAAGGAAAAAGCAAAAAGGTTCCACAATAAAAGTGCTTTTATTTAACAGATTATGTTGCTCTTGTCCCTTTCTCTATCACACGACACATTGACCTTTTTCACGGCAGCCATTTAGGGTAAACACAGGTGTTACCAATGATACAAGTTCAGTACCATTTAGTGTAGCAGAGCCTTTTTTCCAGTGAGCCAACATGCACAAAAGCAGCACCTTTTAGTTGGAAAAAAGGTGACATCAGGAATTCTTGTTAACCAAAGAGTTGGACCAAAATGTGATGACAGTTGTGGGGTTGTTTGCTTTATGATGTCATCCATCAAATGTGAAAGAATCACACCCACACAGTCGGGATGAAGCACATCATCTGAGTTCTGTATAAAATATATTATAAATATTTCCCCCGAAGTTGAAATTATTGCTTATTTAGTCAGAAATGTTTAATATTAAAGAGAAATACTAAAGATTTTGAATGGCTTTAACATACGTAACCTCAACATCCTCTTCTAAACTTCTTAAAAAACAATTCAGTTTAAAAGAAATATATCTCTGAGGTTTATGCCTCCACATTAGAAATTAATTAAATAAAGTTTTATACTAGATTTTAAACATGTAATCGCAATGTGTCTTACTCTGGATAATCCAGAGCCTCGCTGCTTTTATTATATATATATATATATTGGGGCTTTTTGTCTTTATTAGAAATGATAAGACAGCGGAAGACTGACAAGAGAGGGGGTGAGACACAGCAAAGGGCCACAGGTCGGTGTGACTATTGGGGACATTTTCAATGTTGTGTGCGTTATAAGTTGCAAGAAAAATTCTGAGCCAAATATCTGCATTATTTGGTCACAGTGTGTTGTGTTGGTTTACTGACCATTTAACACCTTTTGACCTCCAAATCCTTACAGGGAAGTGGAAGCCCAAATCCAATCCCTTCATGATGCTCAGAAACTTCCACTAATGTGTTTCTGTGTGCACACACAGGCGTCACAGGTCACAGGGGCAGGTGGGAACAGACGGCAGCTGCTGGTCATTTTCCACCTTCTGCCACACAATTTTACACGCGCTCCGCTGACTTTAAAGTTTCCTCGGGGCCACTGTGAGGAAAGATCTGATCACGAAGGGGTGAAGGACCTGCTGGGCGGTACCACAGGTGTTTGCTCAGTGCGGTGTAAGAAGTGTCCACCCAGTTCTCCTCAGCCCAGTTGACAAACATGGCCACTCCTCCCGCTCCCCGTCTCATGTGGAGTAACTCATTAACTCGAGCTACTGCCCGAGAAGGTTGTGTGAAGGAGATAAGAGCGCTAAGTGGCACCGCCACCGGGCTAAACAACATGGACTTACTTCTCTTATACGAGCAGCGCAGAAGTTAAATAAATTGAATAACAAAGGAAACACTAAGTTGAAGGAAGCTGCATATGTGGAGAGACTATTAAAGGAAAACAAATATAAATATGTCTCAAAATGTTGAATATGCCTTTAAGGAACACTAGATGTGCTGCAGAAATGGATAGTAGTGAAAGAGCCCGAGGCCGCGCTTTAGTGGGTCTCCTTAATGAAATACTGAACATTGGCAGGTGTTTGTCTGCAGCTGCACTGCAGGATAATGAGGCCACAGTGTGCAGCGGGACTCACCGAGCTGTTCTTCTTGTGGCTCTGAGCAGTGAAATGTGGACAGAAGAGCAGGTCAGCGATGGCCAGCAGCAGCGATTCAGCCAGCGGGCGCTCTTCGCCGTCGCCGTCGTCTTCGTCCAAACGCTGGAGGATGAAGAAGACGAGTTAAGGACTGAGAACGTCACACTCAAAGTTCACTTAACAGTAAAAGTATTAAATAGTTTCCACAGTGAAAGTTCAGTTCAAGAGTTCGGTTGCTCTCTGAGGTGAAAACATCTCAGCAAAAGGTCCATTTAGTAGCTGTTCTGGAGCTTTTGATCATATCACATGATCTTCTTCATCTGCAGCTTGAGTTTGCCCAGTTGTCATGGAAACTTAGATGCTCAAGTTTCCTTTTTTTTGGAGCACTTTAACGACTTCCTCCCGTCCATGTGGGCAAAAAAAAATGTACTGAAGAAGATCATGTGATATGCTTGAAAGCTCCAGAACAGCTACTAAACAGATTGTGATGTTTTTTTTAGATAGTTAAAGAGAAAATGTTCATATTTAAGTAAAGTACAATGGGTGGACAGAATAACGTGAACACCTACAAAGTGATGGTAAAAAAAAATGCGGTACTGAGGTGATTTAGAGTTTCCAGATGGACATTTTATGCATATTATGGACTAAAATCTGATCTAAATCCCAATATATCGCCATGCTTATAATACTGCAATATATTGCATCATAACCCCCATTATTAGCTGCCCTAATAGTATCAATACCCTGTAGTTTAGTGCACACTGGATACAATAAAAATGTAATATATTATATATAAATACACAGAATTTAATATTAGTAGTTTATTCAATAACAGTATTTTCCTGCAGAACCACAAAACAACCCGTTAGCGTGTTCCAGCCCAGCAGCGCTGCACTTTACCTCAGTCCCACACTTTAATTAAGGGACATTCAATCCCCCCTTAATTCAATCGACGGGCCAGGAGCAGGGGGGGAGGTACAATATGGGCAGTGTTTGGACTGTGGCAACCAGGTAACCAGAGAACCAGCTGCCGTCAGGGGGAGGAGGTGGGGGAGGAAGGAGGAGAGGGGAGTTGGTTTTGGACAGCAGCAGTCTCATCTTACAGATCCTGAATCAGGCAGCAGCATCACGTCTAACTGATTATTATAACTGTGAAATCGTCTGATGTCTGAGTGCTGAAAGGCTGCTAACGGATTAAACAGGTTCAATTCCTCCGTCTGATGTTCCCAACACAACACGTGGTACTGTAGGGAACCGGTTCCCAACCTTCTTCACTAAAGGGACCTCTTTTCAATAATTTATTAAACTGACTCAGTGACATATTTTATGTATATTTCATGTTATATTAAAAACTGTACAATGAACTCAAACAGTGAACTCAGTAACTGCAGGAAGTTTGTGTAAAACCAGAGATTTAGATAAATTGTGATATGATTTTTTGCTGTTTAGGGAACTTTTTATTTAATTCTCTGTCTGTATTATGTATTATTTTTGACAAATTCAGTGTTTTCTTATTTTCTTATTTTAACTGTGTACTTTTCTAACGCAGGACAGTCTTCAAAGTTTGTGAATTAAATAAAGAGTTTTCTCAACACATGCTTGTATTCAAATGGGTGCAATCTGTAACCTCACCACTAGATGTCACTAAATCCTACACACTGTATCTCACCGCCAGAAGAGCACAGATGGGACTGAAAGCTCTGGAAAAAGCTACTAAATGGACATCTGAGAGAAAATATTCCTATTCCTATGTATATATATATATATACACACACTTGTTGGAACATGAGTTTAAAATGTAAAAACATGTTTATTGTTTTTGACCCATCAGCCTCTGCTGCACTTTGTGTTTGTTGCTAATTAGAAGATGTTAGCAATACTAACGTGCTAAACTAAGACGGTGAACATTGTACAAGCTAAACATCAGTATGTTAGCTGCTAGCATGGTTGTTTTTCTGTCCAATATACAAATTATTTTCACTATTTTATACCTATTTGTGGAAAGATTTGAGTTTTTTTGTGATTTAACTGGTCATTAAAAATATAAAAAAATAGAAGATTTATTTGTGTTTTTTTTGCTGAAGGCTGTTAACTATGGTTATGTTTTTAATGTAAATAACCACAATTAACTGAAAATAGTAAACTTTCTGTCAATTAAAGAATTAAAATAAAGTTAATGACATTCCCATCAACCTCAGCTGTACTTTCTGTCAAAAACTGCAGATTGTTCACTACTTTAAACATTTTTGGGGAAATCTTTTAATTTTTTTTGTGATTTGGGTGAACTATAGTAAAACTATAGTCTTTTTGTTTGCTAAAGGCTGTCAACTGTGATTATATATTTAATGCAATTAGCTGCAATTGTCACACTCCAGTTCCTGTTATTAAACCTCCTGTCAATTAAAGAATTAAAACAGTAATTATATAATTCTGGAGAAGAAAGATTGAAGAGAGGCTTTAAGGTCTTACAGTAAACACAAGTAATGTAATATCTGCGCACACACACACACACACACACACACACACACACACAGGTTGGTTGATCGTTAACTTGTATGAACGAGGATTATGATTCCTCAAATGCATTCCTTTCTGTCACTGCCCGCGCGACCTACACATCACACACACACACTGGACTGTCGTGGAAAACAGCGTCAGATGTTCACCCTTCGTTCAATGGTGAAGCATGTTAACGGGTGAATGATACTCAGAACACTCCGGCCGTAACAGATTTTGTGTCAAGAGTCGCTTAGGCCCACGCCCAGCCCCCCCGGCCCGCGGTCTGGCCGGCTCGGGGGACGGTGCGACCAGAAGAAGCCCGCTCCAGTCGGGCGTCTCGAGGAGGAGTGTAGGGAGGATGCGGGTGAGCAGGGCGGTGCAGGTGAGTTGAGGATGATCTGACGCTCTTTCTCTGAGGGGCAGCCGGAGTCGGCGCCCTGGACCAACCTCTCCACCGCCTGAGGGAAACAAATAAAGCTAATAAAGATCCCAGGTTATGATATCATGCTGTTTATAGACATTTTAAGGTAGAAATGTTACATATTATATCTTTAAATCAACAGTCTGATAAAGAAATGATATTTGATGCTCTGTGTCACATTTTCTGGTATTTAAAGATATTTTATCTCAACTATAAATCTGTTCCTTGTTAAAATAAAAGTAGCATCTCGTGTCCTCTCGTCTCCAAACTGTCTCCTCATTGTTCTACTTGAGTAACCTTTGACCTTTGCAGACACTGGTGTGTGTAACAGTTAAAGTGTGGGAACAACAAACAGCAGCATTCCTTTGACTCCGACTGTAACCAGGATGGACTGTATTTAACTATTTAAAGGTACTTGAATGTCTTTGATGCTACTTTATACTTGTACTCCATTACATTTCAGATTTATTTGATTTAGTCATTATTGCTTTAGTTACTTTGCAGATTATTATATTAGTGGTTTTCAAACTGGGGTTCGAGGACCAACAGGGGTCCTGGAGTGGGTTGTTGGGGGTCTCCAGCAATAGGATGAGTAGAATAACGTAAAACTTCTAATAGAAGCATGTCTCCTTTACTAGCCTGGTGTGGCTCAATAAGGGTCTGAATTAGAGGCCTGGTCTGGATTTTATAGAAACTATCTGGATGAATAAAACCTCTTAAAACCCACTGAATCACCTACACAAATATATTGTTAGATTCTCCACAGTTCAACCCTTCAGTTCATTTTACAGAAACCATGAGCACCAAAATATCAAATGATCAAATGTATGAGTACTAATTGATATATTAATCAATAAAAGTAATACTTAATACTGGTTTAAATAAACTATTTAATAGTATTTCTCATCTTTGCTGAGAGTTAAAGTGCAAATAAAAGGTTTTTGCTAATTGGTTTAGGGACCAAATTTGTTTTTTTTTTTAAATTGTAATTTATAGTGATTCAAGCTTTATTAATTATGAAGAGTTTATAATCTTAATATAAAAATAAAAAGGGTTCTTCCTACATTTCCACTGATATTATATATATATATATATAATGAGTACTTTTACTTTTGGTACTTTAAGTATAATTTGATGGGGTTTTTTACACAATAAAGTATAAAATAACAAACCCTCTGTAATCAATAAAGCTCAACATTGCCTATACCGATCAGTTAAAAAATACATTGATCCGCACTGATACCGAAACCCCATAAAGGAACAGCTTCGATGCAGACATTTTGTTTCTTGATGCGTGTTTTGGATTGATTTTAGTAAGTTTACTTTAAGTGTGCACTGCGGACAAATCAAAAAGATCGGGACTCAGTATCTGTGAAATAATCAATATTAAATTATTCAAATCTTAGTTTTATAAGTTACAGAAACATTCCTGATTAATAACTTTTTACCAGGTGTTTTGTTTTCACAGTACAAATAAAAACTAGAAAATTAAGTCACTTGAAGTAAGTTATAAGTTATAAAAGTTAGTTATTTTTACGTTATATAATCAGTTATTTATTAGTTAAATGAACGTATCTCTTTTTTTTACAGTGCGTTACCTTGTAGCAGAGGGTTGCCAGGTTGGACGGAGATTCCTCTCTGACAGCTCGGATCTCGGCCGCCGGCACCAGAGCGAAGACGTCCTGCACGGTGGTGGAGGAGTTGGCCCAGAACTGATCCCAGAACGCATCGTCTGTGGCCTCTACGGGCTGCAGGAGGGGACAAACAACGTCACATCACTCTCTGCTAAACTGCCGTGTTTCTACGGTAGCCCAGAACGGACAAATCAAACACTGGCTGTAGATTTTCACGGCTACCATAGTTTCTCCTACAACGCTGTATTCAAATGGCTGCAATCTGCAATTAAACCACTAGATGACACTAAATCGGTGGCCCACACTGGCCCTTTAAGACTAAAATGGTTTTTTTTTTAGTATCTTTAAACCTTTTCATGTTTTAGTCAGAAACTTTTATGTGCACATTTTAGTATTTGATTCTCAAATTCTTAAACGATTAGTCGACTTATCGATTGATCAAGTATCAGCAGATTAGTGGATAATGCTAATAATCGTTAGTTGCAGCCAGACTATTCAGACTGTTTCATTGGAGCGACCTTAAGGAAGTTTCCAAGCAGAGTTGTAGACACAAAGTTCCTCCATGATCTTTATTTTTGTAGCAATTATCACTTAAAATATCAAAACAATTGAGAAAAATTCTAATTTTTAAACATTTTGTGGCAAAAACAAAGACATATTCAGGTTTATTCTCACAGAAAAATATTAAATGTTTAGTATTTTTGCTTAAAAAAATGACTCAATGATTAATCGCTTGTCAGAATAGTTGCTGGTTAATAGTCTGTGGATAGATAATGAATAATAAAGGGCTAAAAGTTGCAGCCATAACTCACATACAATGAAACAGACTATAGATAACAACCGTATCTGGTCAGTTCCACCTTAAATGCACCTGCTAGAGGAGCTCATTAATTAAATTCAACATGTTTCAGGTCACATGTTACATGTTCCTGTTATTTAAGGATCATTTCACTAAATAAAAACACATTAGGAAGGACTCAAATGATCCAAAAGGCCACAATGAGAGTTCCCAGCCTCCTAAAGTGAACACAAACGGAAGAAAATAGAAATATTTCAGAGGATATGTTTGAGTTCTGTCTGGAAAACATCAATATAAACTGACTGCGGTGTTATCCTGTTTTTTTCTGTCCACTTTGTGTCATCTGGGCTGCAGTTCAGGCTACCATCTGGCACTCTTAACTTTATCTGCACAGGCTGTATTTAAAACCCACAAACGCGCAACCGACGCGCTCCACCACCGTGTCTGTGCCTCTGCGGTGTTTTATTGTGAAAAACCGACCTGTGTTTTGGTTGTGAGTTGAATCACCGCTTTCCTGAAGTGAAGTTTGGTGTCTGCGTTTCCCATTTTGTGTCACAAACCACCTCCTGGTCCGTCTGGATCAACGTTAACACTGAGTCGCCGTAAAGGAGGATAATCTCCTCATCCACCGCTGCGCTCTGCTGCCTTCAGGAGCGGCTCGGAAACTGCAGCTTCAAGCTAATGCGTGTCAGAATAAGCCGCTGCTGATTGTTAATGTTGTAACTCTCACTTCAGGGTTGAGTTTATTTTAGAAACGAGCAAGCGTGACACAAAGAGGAGAAGATTTATGTATATTTTTTGTATAATTTAATTTCCATTAGGCTATAATATGTATTGACCAATGTAAAAAACACACACACACACACACACACATTTTCCCCATGACCACCACAACAAACTCACAAAAGGAAAACAAAATAACAAAAAATACATAAAACAAACAATAAAAAGAAGAAAAGAAAACACAAACAGGTTTACACAGAATCATCAAAACAACAATAATAACACATAAACTATAAATTAACTAAACTGTAAATTATGATTATATATAATAACATTATTTATGTAGAACCTTTCAAAACAAAGCTACAAAGTGCTTAACATGGGGAAAAAGTAAATTAAAACAATTTAATACGACAATTACATTTAATAAATCTGGCTATTTAAAAATAATCAAAAACAAAAAACAAACAAATAAAAAATAAAACACAAAAATATATAATAATGCTGGAAAAGCGAAAATAAAAATGGAGCTTTATTAGACTAATAACACGTTTATTTAAAGGATGATGTTTTTATTTATGTTACTGCTTCTGTAAGAGTGACCCTATCATCATGTTACGTAACGTATTTGCGTTAAACATTTCATGTTTGTCTGTCTGCTCAAGAGTTTTAATAATTCCGACGGCCCTTAAACGTAACACAAACCAAGCAGGATCCAAACTAACCCCACTTCCGGGATCCTAAAGTACATATTTGCTTTCATTCACGTTATTCAGTGATTAAAACCGCCTTCATTTACATATCAGACAATGATTCAGAGACAGGTAAGAAGACTGACACACTCTTCATCATCATCACCATCATCATCATCATCATCATCACCTGTATCATCCTTCTACCTCATGTCATTAATATTCAATGTAGATAATGTTTTTTTTTATTCAGATTCAAACAGACAATGAAGAGTGGCTCCATCGACACTTCAGGTACAATCGGGATAAATGAGCTCTGATGTTCATAGAGCAACAGTGACATCCAGTGAATATCCTATATACTTTAAATTTATGTCATTAATTGTCTTTTTGGTTAATTCAAGTTCAAATTTAATTATTAAATTATTACATAACTGACTTTCTGAAATAAAAATACATTTGGTAAAACAAACTAATCCTAAAGGTGTCATTTCTTTAAACTTAACATAAACGACTGCCCTGCTTCAGTCTAAGTGCCAATATTAATTATACAAAACATAAAATAAAAGATAAAAAGATTATTATTGCATGTTTTTACTTTTTATACACTCAATATCTTTAATAACTTCCTATAACTCGCACCAGTAAATCCTATTTCTGCAAACATTTCTCAAAATAAAGAACATTTCTGCTTCGGGGGAAAAATCGGTGAGTTTCAGATGAAACATAAAACGATAATTATCATCAACTGTGAAGAAAATGATATTATTATTCACTGTGAGTGGGATTAACCAATCAGAGACAAGGATTTACTCCATCAATGCCATATGGTTACATTTTACTCAGTGACGCGTTTCCTACTAAAACCTAATAATTTTAAATGAAAATATGATTTTTGCATCTAAAAGTGATAAAATTAGATATTTAATATTCAAAAATAATTTATTTAAAGAGGTATTTCACCCTAAAACGTGTTTTTTGAGCTGTAAACTGAATTATATGTAGGCGGGGCCCCTAAAGTCTTATGAACCATGTAGCGTAAACAGCTAACATTAGCACCTTTAATCAGTGAACTCTTAATCTGCAAACATTATTGGTTAAAGGACATTGGAGACAAATCATTAATATAAATAAGGAATAATAATGATTGAAACACGTCTTGAACAACAACAACGTCAGTAATTATCTAAAACCAAAAGGAAATATATAAAGACTGGGTACAACACATAATAATCACACACAATTTAAATGTCATATATTCAAATTATAGCACAGAAACAAACAAGCAAAGAATAAAAATGAATGAATCAAACATTTGTTAATGTCCAAAAGTCCAAATTTAGTATTACAGAGACATTAAAGACACACCCATTAAAGACCGAAACTGTTTCTTCTTGATTAATAATCAGTCAGCATCAGTTTCCCAATAATGTGTCACTGGTGGGACTTTCTGAGGGCGTGGGAACCGACATACTGCAGGTTTATAATGTCCAGACACTCATAAACACATTTTACTGCATCATTTTTACCATCATCCAGATTATTTTAATCCATAATCTGTTCATTTCCCCACATACAAACAGCTGCATGTCCAATCTGACACCCCAGCTTCTGACATACCAATCTCACTGATGCGCTTCCTGTGAACTGATGTGAGTGAACAGTTCTCACTAATCCACTCGCCCTGCTGTTTCCCTCAAAACAAATCCAAGTGACGAAGAGCCGTCCTCGGCCAATCACGGCACTCCCTCCGCCCTGCACGAGAGCAGACAAAACGGGACGGACCCTGAGGAGGTTCCCATACATACCGCCGTGTGCAAGCAGGCTCATGCTGTTTGGATCTGTGCAGAGAGGCAACATGAGAACCACGGAGAGAGTTGGTGCTTTGATATTCATCCTGGCAGCTCTGGCAACAGCTGAGGCAGTAAGGACGATTTCACTCTGCTTTTACTGAAATATCACATTTATTTAAGAGAGTTCATCAGTTTCTTTTGTACTTTTAGGGCTTAATGAGAGAAAAACGGAAGGCATTGTCTGTTTTCTCCTCCTCTTCGTCATTTTCCTCTTCGTTCTCCTCCTCCTTTGAAAGTTCAGGTGAGACACTCTACATGCTTCATGTCCACAGGGGTGATTCCATAAGGGGGCCCCTGGGGTGGCACTGGCCGCATTATCCTTACCTCTTCCACTCCACACTGTGTTTCAGAGACTGTAGCGGGCTCAGTTTTAAAGCTAGAATGAAGCTACCAGTATCATATGAAACTACACAGCCTAACACATCCACTGGTACCTCAGGATATCTGAATGAAAATGTTTTGCATGTTGTTATTTTCTGAAGTGTATTTGAATATTTCTGCAGACTGGGGTCCCTTAACAGCATTTAAATTACATAAATTGGGAAAGCTGAGACACATACTTTATGCCAGTGGTTCCCAACCACACACTAGGGATTCACCAACACTTCATAAGGGGGTATATTATCATTTAATTGTATAAGAAAATCCTAAAAATATCAGAAAAACTCATCTCTGATTAAGTATTTACAGGAAATTATTAAAAAAAAATAAAAAAAAATCATCAAAATCGGTTACAGTTGTTCTGTGTTACAGTCAGGGGTTGTCAGTTTACTCAATGATAGATGCTTTATGCCACCCCTGCATAAGTCAGTGCCCCACTTGTGTCCTCCCCGCCCAGTCAGTCTGGAAACGCCCCGGCTGTCCATTAACAGGCTGTTCTGAGCATGAAGTGTGTAATTTGTCCTACAGGAGGGATCTGTCTTAACGGAGGCACTTCTATCCAATCTCTGACTACTGGTGAACACATGTTCTGTTTGTGTGCCGACGGCTTCGAGGGGAATAACTGTGACAAAGGTAAGAAGCTTAACTAAAAAATTGTTGAAACTGATTTACATCAAAAATTTAAAATAGAATCAACATTCAAAACACTCTTGATTAAGTAGCTTTAGTAATTTTGTGTGACACTGACTTGATGTTGTCCTGAGTTCATAATCAGGAATGTTTCTCTAACTTACAAAACTAAGTTAGTGTCACTTAAAATTACTTGTAAAAGCTGCGTAATCAAGACTCTTTTTAAAAATAAATTGAGTTTGTGTTACTTAAAATTTAATCTGTTTCTACAATTTTTTTTGTCAAAATAACTAATCGCATTACAGTTTAACAGAAAACCAGTTTGCATTTATCTTTTTCACATTTTAAATCACATATCTGTTCCTTTAGTGAAAAGCGGCCACTGCTACGACGGTTTGGGGCTGTACTACAGAGGCACAGTGTCTAAATCAAAGAGTGGACGAACATGTGAGGAGTGGGATTCAGACACCAGGGAGCAGTTCTTGTCCTCAGACATTAACTCAGGGAGGCACAACTACTGCAGGTATACAGACCTCCTGTAAATCTTCAGCTCTGTTTTGGCCCATGATCAATCCTCAGGGGTCTGTGGTTCGATGCCCGGTTCTTCCTGTATGAACTCTTTTCTCTTTGGACAAAAGTGTCTTTCAAATTAATGTTTAAGACCCGACAAGGTCGTGGAAAGTACTAGAATATAAAAAATAATAATATAATATAATATAAAAGCTATAATATGTAACGTTTCCTCATTAAAATGTCTATAAACTCTGGCTCTATTTTCTATATGGAGTTTGTTCTTACATTATCCAAGATGTTTCCAACAATGTTCAATGTTCCTGAACTGTTCCCCAAACAAGGATGTTAACAGCCCAAAACACTTTTAAAGCCCCAGAAAGTGTGGTAAAGTATTTCTGTGTAACATTAAAATCATTTATAAATGCGCAACAATGAAAGTTTGGAAAATTGTTCGGAAATTTAGCAAAATATGTTGTTAATGTGGGGCCCAGTTGTTCCCTGTGTTGTTTCATTTTAAATCCAGTGTGCAGAACCTACCAACTCATCTCTAACACCACATGTTTTCCCACAGGAATCTAAACTACAGACGGCGTCCGTGGTGTTACGTTTGGAAGAACCAGCAGCGGGTGTTTGAGTACTGTGCTATTCCACGTTGTGGCTCTGAGGCGGGTTAGTGCGTTCTCTCTCTCTCTCTCTCTTTTCTCTACAAGAAAACCCAAACCAGAGTGAATGTTTAATTTGACTTTTTCTTGTAGTTCCAGTTGCGCCTTCGCCTGCACCCGCTGAGCCACAGCCAGGTAACTTCACTGCCTCACACAACTCTTCACATCCCATGTTCATGTTTTCTCCCTCCACTGTACTGAGCTCGGTTTCACCCTCCAGCTGCAGAGTCCACATGTGGCCAGCGCTCCAGGAGAAAGCTGATGAAGATCGTGGGTGGAACAGTTGCCACTGTGGAATCCCACCCGTGGGTTGCCACCATATTTTGGCGCAGTAAATCCAAGGAGAAGGTTTTCCGCTGCGGGGGGAGTCTGATCTCAGCCTGCTGGGTCCTCACAGCTGCCCACTGTTTCCCTGACGGGTAGGAAGTGAGATCACTTATTGTAAGCACAGCAGGTGCTGAGAAACAGCTGGCTGATTGGACTTGTTAGGGCCCAAATTAACCAAATTAGTCGAATTTTTGGAGCTTCCAGTTTGGGTTCCCTCTACGAAGTCAGTGCTGTTGTGGGAATGTTCAGGCCACTGAAGTCAAGGGTACTGACTGGAGACTTAACCTAACATACATGGGTAGATAATTCAAACTTCACTCAGAAAGGTGTTCCCTCCTCCTAGCTTGTAGAAATCAAACACCCATTAGAAACTGAGACATTTGTCGTCAACCCTGCAGTGGTGGAAAAAAACAAGCCATAACAGCTTGAAAATCCATTAAATCTATCTCCTCGCAGACAGTCTGGAGGTCCTCTGGTTTTTTGATGGTTCCTAGCCTGTGTCTCTGAAGAGAGGATGTGGTAATGTGGGAATGGGTGTGTGATCTTGGCAGACAATAAGCCCATGGGAGACTAACCACGAGTGTAGTGGCTGGGACAACACCAGGCTTCGGCAGATCTTGAGCAGATGGCCGTATTTTTTCTTCATCATGCACAAGTTGTTTCCTTCTAACTAAAGACTTTGGTGGAGAGGAAAACTAATGACTTAAATCTCTGTTGATTTGCTGCTTTGTGTATTTGTGAGATTAACAGAATAAGTAACAAAGAGGATTCAAGCTTAAAAATAAATACATAGTCATAGTGGCAATAGGAAGTAAGCCTTCTACATGAAATTTTCATGTTCAATTGAATTTGTGTTTCAGCTCCCACGCCAAAAACCACCGCTTCTCCGTCATCCTGGGGAAAAATGCCCTGAATGAGAGCGACCCGACTGCGGAGCAAGAATTCAGGGTGGAAGAAATAATCGTCCATGAAGGGTTTGACAACAGTGAAGGGAACTTCAACAATGACATCGGTGAGAGCTTGTTTCCAGATGCTTCAGTATTGATCGTGTGATGTAATCAAAGCAGTGATTCCTTGATAATTGTTCTGCAGCTCTGCTGAAGCTGAAGGCCAATCAAGGGAAGTGTGCAGAGGAGAGCAACTTGGTGAAGACCGTCTGCCTGCCGCCGCCTCAGCAGCGCCTCCAGCCTGGTGTCACCTGCGAGATCGCTGGATATGGGAAGGAGAAATACGGTGAGGAAGATCTAAAATATGATTATATGCTGCAGGATTAAAGGACCAGTTTGTAGGATTTAGAGGCATCTAGTGTAGAAATGGCAATGCAACATTTCCGCCGATAGATCCTCCTAAATGTTACACACTGGAGTCAAAAGTACATCAAACAGTCCCTCCAGAATCTCACAGGTTTCTTTTGGGCAAAGTATGTAGACGTCCCTGTCCACATACTTTTGGACATATGTGAGTAAGTAAATAAGGAAAGAATTGACTCTTTAGCTTCTGATCAGTTGACAACCACAATATAACCGACACCTGAGCCACTTGAAGCTCCAATTGAAAGCTCCTAGAAGCCCGTACTTGGACCTTTGACCTTAAAATATATAATAGGACTGATTAAAGAATGTGTGCAGCAATGTCCACATACTTTTGTATTCTATACATGTTTTCATGTTTGCAAATGAGTCGTTTTCTAAGCTAGCAAGCATTCACTTGCATACAGTAACATTATTATGATTTTACACTGCAATAAAAGTCTAAAACAATATGGCCAAAAGTATGTGGACAGGGATGTTGAGGCCAAATTCAGTAGGTAAACACAGTAAGTAACTTAAATTACTGTACACAGTAAACTGTTCCCAAATAACAAGAAGGAGCTTCCAAAATCAAAATGATCTGATATCATAAAAGTAAAATCTGCAGTGTAACAGTGTCAGATAAAGTAAACTAGACTGAACTACAGTACTTAAGTAAATGTAATTAGTTTGTTCCTTCCTCTAATTAAACCATAAACCATAATAAGTTGCACTGTATCTGTCTGGTTTTAAGAGCTTTTCTTCTGTTCAGGTTTGTGGTACAAGTCTCAGTACCTCCGAGAGGCTCAGGTGAACCTCCTCGCCGACGATGTGTGTCGACACCAGGACTATTACGAAAACATGATCACTGACAACATGTTTTGCGCCGGTCGCCCCGACTGGAGCCAGGATGCCTGCGAGGTATTCACGACAAGTCCGAACCTGCTTCCACAGATCCGTTTGCCGTTGTTCCTTCTAACGCTGTCTGCTTGTTTCTCACAGGGAGACTCGGGGGGGCCTCTGGTGTGCGAGGTCGGGAGCAGGCTCTTCCTGTTCGGAGTCATCAGCTGGGGCGATGGCTGCGCAAAGGAGTATCGACCCGGTGTTTACACCAGAGTGACCAACTACAACCGATGGATAGAAGAGAAGACGGGGCTGCCATCCATCGCTGCTGGCTCCATGTTCCCTCAGAAGTGAACGTGGAGCTTTTTGCTCTTCTTCTTCGAGGATAAATGTGGCAATACTTTATATTTTTCTGAGCAAATGCCATGAAATGATGGCAGATGTGTCTGGTCGGGCCAGTCACAGCCCTTTATCTAAAATGGGGCGGGTCTTATACGATGATTGTACAGAGAGGAGCCACCTTATTGGCTGGTGAGGCGCAACCAAGATGGCTGCCACTGCTGTGATGGTATAATTAGTCACCTGAATATAAAAATCGTTGTGTTTTCGTTTCCTTAGAATACGGAGTCCGCCATGTTTCGGGGCCACCGTAGTTTCTCCTACACGCTTGGAAGTCGAGCTGTATTCAGTCGGTTGTTAACCTTTAACTTCACCGCTAGATGCCACTAAATCCTACACACTGGTCCATTAAAGCTTCTCTTAAAAGATGTATGAAGATTTAGCTGACCCCTGCTGGCCGTTACATAGATTGGCTTCAGTTCACAGACCTGGAAGCTCTGACCGTTGTATATCCTGACAATGGGCTGTACATAGTTATACGTTAATGCTTAAAAAAAAAGAAGCTAAAATGGTCACAGCAACAATGATACAGACAGGTAAAGAAATATCACAAGCCTATCTTTAAATGATCAGGGGTATTGCATGTTTTTTTTTGCTACAAATGCAGTATATTTTACACCACAATTAACCATTTTGCAAGCACGCGTTCCAGGAAGTCATTGATATTTCCATTGATTTCCATATCAACTGAAAATCAATTTTCAAACTTTTCTTTTTTATTAACCTGACTGACATTTGAAAGTGGTCAGAAATGATACAAAATACACATAATTTGTAGTTAAAACAGCTAAAACTTGCAAATATCGTCTAAGTATTTTTTAAGCTTTATTTTTATGCTGACACTTCATTTCAGTACACACAATGTGTGTCTGCTGCGGCAGGGTATTTCATACTTAAACAATAGCACACAACAATAGTGTGCTATTTGGTGCTTTCTGCATTTAATGGTTTGCTACTTATTTCTATATTTTTATAAACTAATGATTTATTTTTTATATTTTATAGATTCTTTTTGTAGATATTCTTCACAAATCTTTTTTGTAGATGTTTTTTTGTTGCCTTCAGTTTAAAAAATGAACAAATGTTTCTGCATTTTTAAGCAGCTCGGCACTTTAGCATTATACTTCCAGAGTAAACTGTCTAAACATATCTTCACTGTTCAGTAGAATCCTGTTGTTTTCTGCCACGTTCACAACATAGATTTTATTTTTTAACCACGGGCTCATAGACTTTTTGTTCTTTAAGTACTACTGAACTTTTTCATTTGATTTTTGATGTTTACTTTTCTATATGTCGTTTTCCACCAAAGGACACATTGGAAATAACTGTTGTAACAATGTTTTGAGTAAATAAATAAATGTATAAATATCTGACTTGAAATAAATCCGAAAATGTTGCTGATGAAGCATTTTCACACCTGTAAATATAAATCAGGATGATATTTTGCACACAAGTGATATTACAGCCTATAATTATCTTTCTGCAACTGCTTGTAATTCTTCTTGGTTGTATAATAATGCTCCATTACAAGAGACCCTATTAGTAAAATTACATAAAGTGACATATTTTATGGATGTTTCATATTATATTCAAAACTATACAATGAATC